ATATAGCACCCTAAATAGTAGGATCCTTATTACAAGGGCCTCAAAATACGGTACCCCTTATTTTCGGAAACTCCTAACTGATCGGGCAGCGGCTCACGCCCCCAGGCTCCGCTTAAAGTAGGGGCCTTAATTGTAAGAATAGCGTTCTGGTGGTTCCTTTATAGTAGATTATACCCGAAACCCTATTCTAATTATTAAGGCCCCTATATTACTATTATGCTATGCCGACTAACTATACTAGCTATGACTGACTTCGACCAAAATGATATTGCATGTGCGGTCACTGTCTCCCTTTAGCGCATTTCGGGTACCCTGCACCCCGGAAGTCCCGAAAGACTCAATTTAATTGCCATGAACCCTTAACACCTTAACCCTTTAACCGCCCCCTAGACCAGAAAGTCTTCCCAGATGCCTTTCTCTTCTCCGCTCTCCGCCCCCACAGCTGACAGTACAAGGCCGCCAGGAACCTGGAGCGAGTACGTATTTTTGGACCCAGTGCTTGGGGTTTAGAGTTTAGGGTGTATCGGCATACCGTTGTATCCCTCACTGCTGCAACTTGCAATTGAAACCATAACTCATTACATGCTTACTCTGAACGACTGTATCCTGTGTCTCGTTGATGTCAGGATCAGAGCTCAAGGACGGGATGGCTTCTTGGAGACTCCGAACTACAAACAAGAACCTGCGGATTAGAGCAGGCAAGGGTTAGCAAAGGGGCCTCAATATTAGAATAGGGTTTTGGGTTTTGGGGTATATTATACTATCTTTGTAATAAAGAACTGCCGAAATAGTGTAGCTAATTGTTTAGGCCCCTACATTATATAAGTCTCCAAGGGCGGATGACGATGTCCAAGTGGCTCCAGTCCCCCAGTTCGCAGGAAATGGGCTCATCGCCTGCACAGGCATTGGGACGGTGTCTTGAATCGGCATCATGTAATGTAGGATTCTTAACATCTTCAACACCTTCTGTGTGATGTTATGGTTCTGTATGATGTTATGGCAAAGCTTCCATGAACGTGGGTACCAGTACCGTGAAGGACCTCATCCAGAATCGAACACCCGCCGGTGGATGTGTTGGCACGTAAGGGTGTGCACTCTCAACTTAGTCCTACATATGGCCTAGGACAGTTGAAATATAAATTCTCGCAAGATACGCTCCAAACTCGTTCAACAAACGTTCGCCGATCCACAGCCGAAGCACTGCAACCTCCACTGTTTCTGCAGGACCACAGGAACTATGACGGAGCGCGAAAACGACGGCGGCGAGGACGACTTTCGCTGCTACCGTACACAACTGCTGCTGCTACCACCACTGCGACGGTGACAACGACAACTACGACTGCGACTACAGACCGCAGACCATGTCCACGACCAGGACTACCACTACGACTGCGATTGCGACTACAACAACGACGCCTTCGACAACGACTACGACGCCAACTAGAAAATCACCACTGACGACTACGACACCGACGACGACACGACAACGACGACCACTACCACTGCTACTGATACTGCTCTACCTTTGCCACAGAGCCGTACAGGTACAATCGTCCGTACCACCATCACCACCATGAGTTCTAGTTCTGATCCCACATGCATGGCCGCTACACGCCACAAAAACCTTACCAGCGATCCCGGCCTGGGCAGTAGACGAGATTGCAGGCCCGAACACGCTGCAGCGCACCGGAACACGGGGTCCCGGCCCCTTCGGCGTGGCGCAAGACCTCGACGTGGCTTTCGAGCTTTTGGGACGTTGGGCCAATAAAATCCCTTCGATATCCAATAACCAACTCGAAAACAGGACATCTTATCTCCAAACAACATATAACGTCACTCATACTATACGGACTCCTCTATATCCCAATACGTATTCCTCTTTTAAGGACTATAGTGGGCTTTCTGGGAAGGCTTGGCTACCCGGCCTGTCGCGTCGCCATGTACTGGCCACCACCGCACTCTCGAGAGCAATCGGACCATGGAGACCTCTTCTGAGCGCCAAGTAGGGTTTAGGTATCCTTTGCATACAAAGCTGGATGGTCAACAAGAAGGAAGCGGGGGGTTGTAGGTTCAGGGTGTACCCACGACTACGATCAAGCAGCAGCAGGCTTCGGCAGGGTAGTTTTGGTCTGGGGCTTCAGGTTTTGGTCTTGTGAGTGTCTGCGCAGGGCTCACGATTGGGGTTGAAGGGCTTGGGTTAGGGAGTTCACGGCTGTCTCAGATTTACAGTTTAAAGTTTAGGACCTGAGGTTTCGGGTGGCATAGTTAGCGCAGACCATGAGGACCTTTCATTAGGGTTTGTTCCAGTCACTAGAGCGGTTGGTGCTTCGTAACAAAGCAAGGACAACTAGAAACAGTATGATAAATCGACGTAGTTTAAAATGGTGATACTGGAAATTAGCTCTCACAGTAAACAACAAGCATCGCGCGGGCATCTGACAGAGAACTCGCGACTCAAGCTCGACACCGCAACGACATCTCTCGCTTGCCATGCACATCTCGCATTTCCTAACAAGCTCTAAAACATATGCGTTACAGATGAAAAAGTATAAGGGCTTGAGGGTTGAGGCTTCCGTCATGTTGCGACATCGTTTGGGCACCAGTCGGGCTTAGGGTGTAGAGTGTAGAACTTGCCCGTCCACGATTCGTCTGGAGAGTGCAAGCTCACACTCGGGCACACTCCTCGGCTAAACACAACCTTGAGATCTTCTCAGTCGTATGCTTGCACCTGCTCTCTATGGATATCTAAGTTATGGCCTCGGCTTGCGACTGTCGTTGCATTCGGGCTAACGTAGGGATATATCGGGCGCTCATTAATCACAGATAGGTTTCGAAGTATCTCATTGTGCTAAATATAAAACCGAAAATGGATTCGAAGCAAGCCTGTCCCAAATCCTCAAGCGCCGCCACTGATTGCCTAGTTCCGCCAACTACCCTAACGCTCGCTTTGCTGCAACTCCATAAACCCTACATACATAGATACATACATACATACATACGTACATACACATATTATGCATATCCATACCCGCATCCATATACAACGCTATATATATATACACACACACATATATTTATATACCTCGTTAAAAAAATACACCAATTAACAACAAATATATGTATATATAAATATATGTATGTATATGTACACACAC